CCACCATATACGGAAATAATATATAGCTCATTGAAGGGAGGATACAATCAAAGGAGATCGGACAAAACATATTTCACCAAAAGTCTTTTTCACACATGATCTTCAACAAAATGGTGAGATAGATGTTCAAAGATCCATTCAAGTGATAATCTTGTAAACTTATTGACTAAGGATTGCCAACATCAATATTTGAGAAGTTGTGATATAAGATTGGAATGCATCGTCTCCGAGATATCAAGTAAAGTTTTTATCAGGGGGAGAACATACGCGTTGTACTCTTTTCCTTGACCATGGTTTTATCCCAATTGGGTTTTCCTGGTAAGATTTTTAACGAGGCAACATTCAAAGCGTATTAAAAGATATGTGTACTCTTTTTCCTTCACTAGGATTTTTTTCCACGGGGTTTTTTCCTAGTAAGATTTTTTACGAGGCATATTATTTATGGACATCCAAGGGGGAGTGTTATAAAATAATATATTGTGGATGTCCACTACATCAAGAAGTTACTCCATATTTTCCTCCATTATGAAGATTACCATAACCTCCATAACCTCCACCTTTATAACCATTATTCTTGTAACCTTTCACTTCCATAACCTCCCCATTATATTCATGTTAATGTCATGTTTATGACTAACCTTTTGTATGCCTCTATGTTATACTATAAATAGAGGCATAAGGGTTCATATTGTATACACTTGAAGATTTGGTGAACACTTGAAAGAAAGAAAGTTATCTTATATTATTCCTCTTGTCTTATATTCTTCTTGTCTTCATCTTTATATTATTCTTTTGTTCTTAAGTTTTACAAAAATTTATATAGTATTAAAATATAAAAAATAAAACCAGCTCTGTTGTAAGGGGGGGAAAAATAGGCAAACTTTAGGGCTTTTCATATAGTAATCTCCCTATCAAAACCTCAAAGATTTTCCATTTCTGCAAAACCCAAATGGAATCCAAAGAAGACGAAGCCCTCCCAAAACGGAGCAAACCCATGGAAATTCAGTCCATTTCAAGCAAAGATTCAGTCTTGTCAATGCCTAAGCTTCCTGCAGAACTCATCACTGAAATCTTGTTAAGGCTTCCAGTGAAATCCCTCTAACAATTCAGGTCTGTGTCAAAATCTTGGCTTTCCTTTATCTCTAGCCCTAAATTTGTAAGACCCATCTCTTATTATGTGCTAGTAACAAGGACTACACCCATCTTGGAGTTATGTTTAAGGTTGCTAGTTATGCTGGCATAGGTGTTACAGACTGTTCTCTTAGTGCTTTACTTCACCATTCTGTAAAGGAGGTAATTGACTTGGATCATCCAGGTAAAAATCCCAAAGACTATCCTTGGCTTGTGGGTTCGGTTAAGGATTGATTTGTGTTACTATTAGTCTGTAACAAATTACATGACTTGTTTATATGGAATCCGTCAATTAGAAAGCATAGCAAGTTGCCTAGTTATAGACTTAATCGATGTGGTGGATATCAAGCGGAGGAACCTGGGCATGGCAGATTTGGTTTTGCATTGATGAGCTTCAAGATGATTACAAGGTAGTGGGAGTTTTCCCTGTTCACAAAAATATGCGTCTGTGTCGTGTTGAGGTCCAGATATATAGTCTAAGGAGTTTCTTGGAGGCATATTAGCGACTTTAAAGATAGATTTTTTTTCCATTTTCCGGGTAAGCTTGTGTAAGGGAAACTTCATTGGATTCAAACGGGCATGAACATTTGTTCTATTGATTTGTGAGATGAGAAATGGGCAGAGATAGAAAATCCCTGCAATTTTAATTTTAATGATTATGGTCATTTCGTACTAGGAGTGCTTGGAAGTGATCTTTCTGTGTTCTGTAATTACACGCGGGGTGCAGATATCTGTGTTATGACGGAGTATGGAGTTAAAGAATCTAGGACAAAGCTGTTTACTATCAAGTCTCATAATGAATTTATATCATGTTTGTATGGTTTTCCCATTTTTTTGTCAAATGGTGACATTTTGCTTGAAATTGGATCACGTTTGGGGAAATATAATCCAAAGGATGACTCTATCAAATATCTAGATGTTACTAACTTTGCTCCAAATGTTGAGGCAGAAATCTACGTTACGAGCCTAGTTTATCCCTTTTTTTAGAAGGGACAATGCCTGCAATAGCAACGGAGGTTCAAATAACTCAGATGAAAACATCCATGTGACAAATAACCTGTAAGAGTTACATTCTATGTATTTTCTGAAGTGCTGTTAAATTTTGTTTCCATAATACTTGTGATCTTGTGAGTCATTTTCCTTTTATGATCTATTTTCAGAAAACGATAATCTTTTGCTAAAGCAGTTATTTTTGTTGTATTACTTGGTCTCATGAACTTATTTTGAGTAGTGTTGTAAGAGGGATGTTGTGCGTATAGATAGAGTAAGAATAGAACAACAGAGGTTCTAGGTTTTGTTTTTTGGATCCATTCTCTCACTATTCTTCTTTAGGTAAAAGCTTAATAGGGCAAAGGTTTGACCGGATGAGTTAGCTAGTACTTGTATTAGTGGGAGATACCAAATACCAAGTGGAATAGCCGAGGTGCAAAGCTGACTAAGGCACTGCCATTATCCCAAAAAAGGGTTTCAATGGGAGGAAACAAAGGAATATTTAACAAATTTTAAGCTCTGAGATAGTATCTAGTTTTGGTGTTTTCTCCTTGCTCAGTGTAACTGATAACTTATTTTCTTCGAAACTATTTGGTGTTCTCTTGCTGCTAATAGCTACTCCCTCCATCCTAATTTATGTGGCATGCTTTCTTTTTTATCGTGTCCCAAAAAGAATATAATACTTATTTATTTTGAAATAATCTAACTTTAGACTTCTTACCTTAATAAGATGATTTATAGCCACACAGATATCCATGGATTGCTTTAGACCACAAGTTTCAAAAGGGGAAATCTTTAGGATTCCATTTGGGTTGCATAAAGGGAAATCTTTGGGAGTGCCATGAATCTTTGCTTGAAACGGATGGAAATTGAGCAGGGTTTTCGGGATTGCTCCATTTTGGGTGTCGATAGACGGCTTCATCTCCTTGGGACAAGATTTCAGTGGCAAGCTCTACAGGAAGATTAGGCATTGGCAAGACTAGATCTTTGCTTGAAACACATCGAAATTGAGCAGGGTTACCGTGATTGCTCCGTTTTGGGTGTCGAGAGACCGCTTTATCCTCTTGGGATTCCATTTAGGTTGTAGAAAGAGGAAATCTTTGGGAGTTCTCAGTATGGAAATTACTATGTGAAGGCCTAAATTTTCTATCTTTTTTTTTCTTACAACAACTTTTTAGGCCCTTTACACTTTTTGAACTGGTTTTAATTTTTATCTTTTAATCTATTTTTGCGATGTATAATTTTATATTTTTGCATTATAATATCTTATTAGTTATGTCCCGTGTTTTTAATAACTTATGTCTTACTAGGTATAAATTTGATTTCAAAGTATGAAAAGTAAAAATCAATTCTTTTGAAGAACAAATCGTGCAATTAAATGTAGTGTTTTCTATAAAGGGGAAACATTTATTGTTTTTACTAGGGTAAATACATCAAATCCCCTTGGCTTGATAGTATAACTTACTTTAGCCCTTTAACTATACGGGCATTTAAATACCGCCTATTCTTATTTGAAGTGAAATTAATATCACCCTATAACATTTAAACCACCTTCATCATAGTTATTGTTGTTTACACACCTTCAAGATTGGAGGGTTAAATAAACGCCCGTGTAGTTAATGTGCTAAAGTAAGGTTTTGCTGCCAAGTTCAAGGGGGATTTGATGTATTTACTCTAGTTAAAACAATGAATGCTTCCCCCTTAAAGAAAACACTGCATTTAATTGCACGATTTGTTCTTCAAAAGAATTGATTTTTACTTTTCATGCTTTGAAATCAAATTTATACCTAGTAAGGCATAAGTTATTAAACAACACGGTACATAACTAATAAGATATTATGATGCAAAAATATAAAATTATACACCGCAAAAATATGATTTAGATTGAAAGATAAAAATTAAAACTAGCTCAAAAAGTGTAAAGGACCCAAAAAGTTGTTGTAAGAGAAAAAAAAATAGATAGAAAATTTAGGGCTTCACATAGTAATCTCTATACTGAGAACTCCCAAATATTTCCCCTTTCTGCAACCCAAATGGAATCCCTAGGGGATGAAGCCGCCTCTCGACACCCAAAACGGAGCAATCCCGGAAACCCTGCTCAATTTCCATCCGTTTCAAGCAAAGATCCAGTCTTGCCAATGCCTAATCTTCCTGTAGAGCCTGTCACTCAAAACCTGTCCCAAGGAGATGAAGCAGTCTCTCGACACCCAAAACGGAGCAATCTCGGAAACCCTGTTCAATTTCCATCCGTTTCAAGCAAAGATTCAGTCTTGCCAATGCCTAATCTTTCTGTAGAGTTTGTGACTGAAATCTTGTCCCAAGGAGATGAAGCTGTCTCTCGATACCCAAAACGGAGCAATCCTGCTCAATTTTTATCCATTTCAAGCAAAGATTCAGTCTTGCCAATGCCTAACCTTCCTGTAGAGCTTGTAACTGAAATCTTGTTTAGGCTTCCGGTGAAATCCCTCTTACAATTCAGGTCTGTGTCAAAATCTTGGCTTTCCTTAATCTCTAGCCCTGAATTTGTGAAGAACCATCTCTTATTATCCGCTGGTAACAAGGACTACACCCACTATGGAGTTATGTTTAAGGTTGCTAGTAGTGCTAGCCATGGTGTCACAGACTGTTCTCTTAGCTCTTTACTTCACCATCCTGTAACGGAGGCAATTGACTTGGATTATCCAGGTAAATATCCCAAAGACCATCGCTATCCTCGGATTGTGGGTTCTGTCAATGGATTGATTTGCCTTGCCGTTAGTCTATTTAACGGAGTACAAGAATTGGTTCTATGGAATCCATCAACTAGAAAGTATAATAGACTGCCTAATTATAGACTTCATCGACCCCGTGGTTACTGCTGTTTGCAGGAACATCGTGGTAAGTGCAACTTTGGTTTTGGATATAATGAGCTCCAAGATGATTACAAGGTAGTGGGCATTTTCACTGTTTACAAAAGTATACAGTTGTGTCGTGTTGAGGTCCATATATATAGTCTAAGGAGTAATTCTTGGAGACGTATTAACGACTCTGCTTGGGATTTTTTGCATGTTCCGGGAAAGCTTGTGAATAGAAAACTTTATTGGCTTCAAAACAGCTGGAATATCAGTTCTATTGATTTGGGTAATGAGAAATGGACAGAGATAGAAAAGCCTTTCAGTTTTAAGGAATATGGTCATTTCGTACTAGGAGTGCTTGGAAGTGATCTTTCTGTGTTGTGTGATTACAAGAATTGTCATGCAGATGTTTGGATTATGAAGGAGTATGAAGCAAAAACATCTTGGACAAAGATGCTTACTATCCGTGCTGATAATGACGGTATGCTACATATACGTGAACCACCCTTGTTAGTGACAAATGAAGGTGATATTTTGTTTGAAATTGGATCACGTATGGCGAAATATAATCCAAAGGATAATTCATTCAGATATCTAGATGTTACTAACTTTGCTCCATATGTTGAGGCAGAAATCTACGTTAAGAGTCTAGTTTGTCCCTTTTCACACAATGAATAATGCATGCAAAAACAACGGGAAGTTCCAATAACTCAGATGAAGACAACCGTGTGACTAATAACATGTAAGAGTTACATTCTATGCATTTTCTTAAGCGTTATTAAATTTTGTTTCTGTATTGCTTGTGGATCTTGCGAGTCATTTTGCTAGAGCAGTTATTTTTGTTGTATTACTTGGTCTCATGACTTCAAACTCAATGGTACTGGACATAGTTTCTCTTCTTGAGCAGTGTTTTAAGAGGAATGCTGTGCGTATAGAAAGAGTAAGAATAGTGCACCAGTGACGGAATCTGTTGATCACTTGTTTTTGCACTGTCCAGTAGCTACTGGTGTTTGGAACATGTTTTGCATCCTCTTTGGCCTGAGTTGGGTTATGCCAAAGAACATGAGACAGGCACATTTGAGTTGGAGTTTATGGAAAGCTGATAAGGCCATCAAGAAAATCTGGTTGATGATTTTACCTCTCATGTGTGGTTTGCGAATTATTGCATAGGAGCGGGGATTTTACCCTGTGCACACCCAAAGGGTAGCGGCTGCAGATTTCCCTTGTCATAAAAAAAAAATCTGGTTGATGATTCCTGCTACTATCTTTTGATGTTTGTGGACAGAAAGGAACAAGAGATGTTTTGATGCCATTTTCTAGACTTTGTTCTGGACATTTTCTAGACTTTGTTTGCACCCTAGTTCTAGATTAACACTTTGTATAGGAGCTGAACTGAGCTAAATATTCCTTTTTGTCCTTCTGTTACTTGTAAGTATGCTCCGTGTATTTTTGCATCTCCTTGATGCTTTTTAATGAAACATCTTACCTCATCCCAAAAAAAAAAAAAAGAATAGAGCACCAGTGATTAGGAAATTGTGGTAGTCGAATGCACCAATGATCCCTGGTCCTAGGTTTTGTTTTTTGGATCCATTCTCTAACTCTTCTTCTTTACGTAAAATCTTTATAGGGCAAAGGTTTGGCAAGATGACTCATCTGGTACCTGTTGTGTTAGTGAGAGGTAGCATCAAGCATGTACCCAATGAAATAGTTGAGGTGACAGTAGTACGAAACAAAGGAATCATTCATCAAAGGTTAAGTTCTGAGATAGTATCTAGTTTAGGTGTTTTCTCCTTGCTGCTAATAGCTGGCAACAATTTTTGTTCTGGGAGTTCGGTGTTTTCTTGCTACTAATAGCTACTCCCTTTGTTCCAATTTATGTGACATACTTTTTCTTTTGTCCTTCCCAAAAAGAATGTAATACTTCTTTATTTTGAAATAGTTTAACTTTAAACTTTGTAGTTTACACTTATTGAGATGTTTTATAGATGCACAAATTGCTATGACTTGTTTTACACAACAAGTTTCAAAAGTCTTTCTTTCTTAAACTCCGTGCCCAGTTAAACACCACCATATAAATTGAGACATAGGGAGCAACTTTGTTTTTCACTGCAAAATGATCTTATTCTTTCACTTTAGCTGTAATATTGATGAAAGGAAGTATACATTGCAAGGTGTAATCAGTTCGGGGTGCTAATTTTGCTGCTATGATCATGAGAGTTAGGTTGGACGTACAGAAGAATTTCGGAATATAGGAGAAACTGACTTTGGGGATGAGCTTTGTTTAAGAGGGCCTTGTCTATTCTAAAGTAGAATAAAGTTGTCGTCTCTGTTATTTTGAACAAGAATCATTTCCAGTATAGTTTATTCTTTTATGTTCTGAACAACCCTAAAATTGTGTCTATAATTTGTATTTTGAGTCTCAGGATCCTTGAGTTGGTTCGTCTGAAGGAACCTTACTCGTTGTGGAGAGGCTCAACAGCTTGTTCAACTCCAGCCGTTATCACTATGAGTATGACTACAAAGTTATTCAACAAAGAGTCAGAAAAGAGTACTTAGAAGACGGTTCGAGTATGATTTACAGATTAATGAAGTGTTTATCTCTTTCCAGAGCACAATACAGAGATTATTTGGGTATATGCATAGACTGCAGGAAAAGAGAAAACAATGAAACTTTGCTGTTTTTACGTGCAGACAGACACTTGGATTTCTTCTTTTATGTTTTATTGTCTCAAATTTATTAAGTACTGGGTTGTTTCTTGTTTGCTTTCATAAAATTGCGTACTTCGTTTTTCTTTTTCCGTGAAGTGAATGTTCAAAATAGTAAGTGAAGTTTGATTGAAGGGTATATAATTCACCCTTGCCAGTGAAAGCAAGGAGTTTGCCTTTTAGGTCGAGCTTGTTGCACCGGGTTTGCCTAGTGTGGGACATCTCTCATGTGTGGTTTGCTAGCTATTGCATAGAGGCAGGGCTTTACCCCATGTGCACCCAAAGGGTAGCAGTTGGGTTTCAATTTTTATTGTGTTTTTTTAATATGGGAGAGGACCATTATTGGAACCCAAAGACGTAGCTTTTAAGCACTGACAAAAAAAAGTGAACTTTGTGTACCATTTTTGTTATGACGTGATACAAAAATGTGTCTTCTAACTTTGCTTCAGCTGATATTTAAAAATTTCAATTTAAAACCCGTCAAAATTTATAGTCGAAGTAAAAATCATGATGAATCCATTAAACTTTATGATAAAATATTTTTTCCCCTTAATTCAAAACTTAAAGATGATACTGAGATTGGAATTGGGCTTGTCTTCATCACTTACAAAAGGGCATGAGGAATATTATCTTATCTTCTTCTTTATCTTTAACAAACAAAACAAATTATTTGATAAACGTCTTATTCAGATTGAAATAGGAGGAATCTTTGGGCCATCAGGATTATATTACACCACTTTATAGCAGGGGAAGATTTTAAACTTAAATTATGGTGCGCATGAATTCATGATCTTTCGGCAAAACTCGGTATTTTTCATATATTTTCTAGAATTAATTTGTATTATTTGTTGATATTCATGCATTTGGTATCAATTCTTACTCACTACTTCCCCTTTGTGGTGGAGCAGCATGTTCTAAAAATTCTAAATACGCGTTTGCTTTACAGATCCAAGTTGTAATACTGTTGCTCTGTTGGCCTTCTCAAGCAGCTCAAACTTCTCTCCTCTCTTGTAAAATCCTCTCTTTTACTCTCTGTGATTCAAATATGTTACCTTATGCTAAGCATATATACTTGTATTTGATGCACACTGGGATTTATTACATGTTTTATGGTCAATTCTACTGTGTACATTGACAAATTAAATTATGTTTATTTGCTAGTATTGTGGATTAATCAAGAAGAGACAATTTTCATTTGTTTCATTTTTGTTATTGTTCTTTCTAGTGTTTGTTGTGTAACGTTCTTCATTTCGATTAATTAGTTGTTGTGACTGCTCCCATATCTATATATGTCCCAAACTGTTTGGCTGGTTTCATTTAAGTTGAGATAGAGGTAAGATTTGTGTACACTCTACCCTCCTCAGACCTCACTTGTGGATCACAATGGATTGTTGTTGTTGTTTTAGGGTGCCCCAATGTATCCTAAGTTGTTTTTCATGATTGTAAGCTAAGTAATGTCTTGGCAACTATCAATATTTCTATATTAATTGGTCCTTTGTTGTGTTCCAAATTCTAGACAAAATTTGTCAGTTTGCTCAGAAATGGAAAATGTTGAAGCCAGCCCTCTCAAAAAATCCCCTCGGGGTTTGGATGAAAACTCGGAGGAAGAATACTCTACTCTGTCTACTCTACTCCAACATTTTGCTAGCATCCCTACCGTTGACAAGGCATGGACTTTCAAATCTACCAGTGGTATGATTGCTATTATCCAATTTCCCTTTTGTATATTCAAAACATTTCACTTTGAGGATGAAAAATGACTCGCACGAGGAAAAGTTTAATGTTTGATTATAGTGAAGTATTGTTTTTCCACTTTCAATTAATAAGAATCTTGGTTCTTTAAAAGCAGCTAAATGTCCCTCTTTTACTTTTGCTGCACAAAAAGGTTCCCAGTGTATGTTCTCAATCAGCCAGCCGAATCTACTGGCCAACCAAAACAGGAGATACATATTATCTAGTCATATTTCGAAGGAAAGTGCAAATGATGGTGTAATCTTTGAGTGGGCTGCCTTCCCTATTGAGATGCCTAGTGGGTCTATAATGGTTCCATCACCTTCAGGTTCAAAGCTTCTTGTTGTTAGAAATCTTGAAACAAATTCTCCGACCACATTCGAGATTTGGGGTCCATCTCGAGTTGAAAAGGAGTTCCATGTCTCGTCCTCTGTCCATGGCTCTGTGTATTCAGATGGATGGTAAAATATCTTAATCCTTTTTTTCCAATTTATGTGATGTTGTTTGAAAGAGCATGAAGTTTAAGAAAGAAAGAAATACTTTTGAAATATATGGTCTAAAATAAGTCACAAGTATGTGTATGGCCGTAAATCATCTCATTAATAAATCTGAAGTTTATCAAATCATTGCTAGATATAAATATGTGTCACATAAATTGGAATGGAGGGGAACCTACTTTTTAAGTATCTGATTTTTCACTTCACCATCATATGGTGTTCGTTAGCATTTGACAATGCAGGTTTGAGGGAATTTCATGGAATGATGATGAAACCTTTATTGCATACGTAGCTGAGGAGCCCTCTCCCTCTAAACCCGTATTCACGAATTCAGGCTACAAGAAAGGGAGTTCTTCAGATATGGAATGTGGTAGCTGGGAAGGTCAAGGGGATTGGGAAGAGGACTGGGGTGAAACCTACCCTAGAAAAAGAGAACCTGCGATTTTCGTTATCAATATTAACAGGTATGGTAACTTATACTGTTTGCTTATATCAGTCTCAAGGGTAAATATTTGACTACTTGTGCAGTGGAGAAGTACATTCTGTTGAAGGAACAAATAAGCTTAGTGTTGGACAAGTTGTATGGGCTCCAGCTTCTAGAGGCTTGCAGCAATATCTGGTTTTCGTTGGGTGGCCATCGGATACTAGAAAGTTGGGCATTAAGTATTGCTATAACAGGCCGTGTGCCTTGTATGCTGTTAGAGCTCCATTTTCAAAATCAGAAGATCGTGAACCCAGGTATGTAATTTGATAGCTTCTCGAGATGAAAATGTTGTGGATTGGCAGTAACGGTATGATCTGTGTGAATATAGTGCAGAGGGGACTGAGCTAGGGGAGAATTTCGTTATTTTTTTTATTTGTATTCATCTTCATTGTTTTGATGGAGTTTTTTCAATTTCAGAACACATGCAATCGAAGAAGCATCTCCAGTTAAGCTGACACAAAGAATAAGTAGCGCGCTCTTTCCTCGTTTCAGGTATATCTGCTTATGTTGATGCTAGAAAGATGATATATGTATATGAATAAGAAATTCATAAGTTTGCGGAAGCATGTTCTACATATTTTCATATTGTTCTTAGTTGACAATTATTGAGAAGCAACAATAGCATCATTTCTAAAGTTAGTTTGTTGGGAAAAGTTGAAACTAATTGTTACTTTTACTGAATTTCCAGCCCAGATGGAAAGGCCCTTATGTTTCTGTCTGCAAAAAGTTCTGTAGACACTTGGGTACATTCTGCAACTCAATCACTTCATAGAATTGATTGGTCCATAGATGGAAAGCCCACCGCAGATGCTGACATTGTTGACGTGGTTCGCTCTATTTCTATGTTCTTCAAACTTTTATCAGCACTTCTGAGGCTAGTGAATAATCATTCGTTGCTACTACTTTTCATTTGTATACTAACTAATTGCTGGTGCAACACTTATGTGACAGGTTCCCATTGTGATGTGTCCTGATGATGGATGCTTCCCTGGCCTCTATAGTGTTAGGCTTCTAAGTAAACCTTGGCTGTCTGATGGATATACCATGATTTTATCTTCTGTATGGGGCAGCACTGAAGTCATACTTTCAGTGAACATGTTGAGGTAACTTTGTATAAGGTGACTCAATTTTGACTGACATTATGGTGTCATGGCATGCAATAGCCCCTTATAGTCCAGTCCTTCCCCGGACCCGTGCATAGCAGGAGCTTAATGCACCGGGCTGCCCTTTTATTATGGGGTCATGGGATTCTTTAAATTTCCTCTGGACTAATGATTGCTTGTTAATTAATAGTGGAAAGGTGTCACGCATTAGCCCTGGAAATTGTAGCTTCTCTTGGAGCTTGCTTGCACTAGATGGTGATAACATAATAGCTGGTAAGACTTAATTTTTCTGTAGACAGGTGCCTATGTTGCACAAAGTGTCTCTATTTGTGTTCTTCATTTACTTGTTTATTCTGATCAATCCAAGCTGAATAAATCTGGTACTTATCTCTTGTAAAGTCAGTAGCAGTCCCTCCGATGTTCCTGAAATCAAGTACGGTAGCATTGTTGGAAATTCATCTGCAGAGGCCTTAGCAAGTTGGCAAGATATTTCAAGCCCCATATATAGATGCTCTGAAAAGGTTCATCTGGTTGTTCGATCATTTACAAAATGTTTCATCCAGAATGTTTACTTGCAAGTATGACATTTCTATTATTCATATACATGTGATGCTCACAGGTCACTTCTCTACTGTCATCCCGCCAATCTAGTATTATCAAAATTCCAGTCAGGGATATCTCTGAGAACCTTACTGCAGGTATTAATTCATCAGTCTGACTAAAATACTTGTTTTAATCTGTGAACAGTGGTGTTTTAACTGTTGAGAAGGTAGGAAAGGAAAGGAAACGAAAAAAATATTGAGTAATGGTAATTGGATACTTGCTCATGCGACCAACTTATTCGTTCTATTGAAATTTTAGATTCTTCAAGAAGCACCATATGTAAATTCTAAGCCTCTACTCCCTCCGTTTAACTTTTTCAGGTGCCAACAAGCCATATGAGTCTATCTTTGTATCCTCCAAGTGTAAGAGCCATGATCTGTGTGATCCGCTAATTGTAGTCCTTCATGGGGGTCCTCACTTCATTTCATTGTCAAGCTTCTCGAAATCCTTAGCTTTCCTTTCCTCAATTGGTTATAGCTTGTTGATTGTTAATTACAGGTGAGATACTTTCCATGCCTCTACACTTGTAAAGCATGTTCAAATTTATATACTGATAAAAGCAAAGCTCATCAACAACACCCCCTGCAAATTTGTCTTTAGCTTAAGATGTTACACTCAACTGTCTTTCTTGGTTTTAGTACCAAGGAAATTTACAAGTGATGGTCAGTAATATCATAATTTACATGTTCAATCCAATGTCAAAGTTTGTCTGCACAATTTCTGCGATTGTTTCAGTAGAAAACTATAGCTAAGGAATCGAATTTTAGATGTTATAAAGTTGTTGATGTTAAGCAAACTTTGAAGTTAGCAAAATCTTATTTCAGTTACACATCTGAAAAGAAGTAAAAGGAAACATGTTATACTAATTAAAAATCAAATGCTTAGGAACAGCCCTCAAAAAATTTTACCAAACAATAAGATGCATATTATTTCAGAAGCTCTTGGATAACTAGAAACTTGTAAACCTACATTGACCTTCTGTGAACTGTAAATTCTCTGAAATTAAGAGCAGACACAGGCTAAAACTTAAGAACTGTTTAAAACATGTCTTCTTATTTGCCTCGACCTGCAAGAATGAGACTTCTTCATCGTTGGCAAGCCAAGTCAGGCAATTGCATATATGGATTTGCTACTGTTCTTGAGATATTTCATTTGCTATCTTTTGTTTTGGCTAAGCAGCAGTTAATGACTTGATTAAGTACATTCTTTTTCTTACCTTATCTTAGAGGCTCCTTGGGTTTTGGTGAGGAAGCACTGCAATCTCTTCCTGGCAAAATTGGATCGCAGGTACTCATCTGTAGTCCTCCTCTTTTGTTCACTTAAAAGATTGCTTATCAAGGATTTGAAACCTAAAATGTTCTTGCTTGGTTGAACCTTTATGATATGTCTGTATGTGTAGGATGTTAATGATGTACTAGCTGCTATAGATCATGTCATAGATATGGGACTTGCAGATCCATCTAAAATAACTGTCCTCGGTGGTTCCCATGGTGGATTCCTGACAACACACTTGATTGGCCAGGTCTTCTAGTTATACGAATATTTATGGTTTCTACAACGCACGTATAGGGAAGCTCGACAAGCCTGCGTATCTGAAAGACTATAGATTTGACAGTTCTGCTACTATTACTGCAGGCACCCGATAAGTTTGCTGCTGCAGCTACTAGGAACCCTGTCTGCAGCCTTCCTTTGATGGTTGGAACAGCTGATATCCCTGATTGGTGCTATGCAGAGACGTTTGGACATCTCGGAAAATCAATGTATACTGAAGCCCCATCGTCTGAACACCTTGCTGTCTTTCACAGCAAATCACCAATAGCACACATCTCCAAGGTCTGCTCTAATCAACAAACTCTGGATTTGAAAAAGCTTTCCATTTTACGCAACTGTGTTCCCAATCATAGTGAAAAAGTCGAAGTATTAAGTTTTTCTAGATTTGAAGGATCATGTCCCTATGTATGTATTTTCTGGATCCTATATTTCTGAATACATTTGATACTCTGTGTTATCTAATATTGCAGGTCAAAACTCCTATACTCTTCTTGCTAGGTGCCAAGGACCTCCGTGTACCAATATGTACCGGCTTGCAAGTAAGATTTAATATAATCCTCTTCTTGTTTCTTTTATCAATCACCTGTTTATGTTTCATTATCAACATGATATTGGCAGGTTTATATTCTTAAGACTTAAGCGTATACGTTAAATGGATCATTCATTTGCCTTGACATATTCGCGTTGAATGGGAAGATTTGTATTCTTTTTGTATTTATCAATAATTCTTTGTAAAAGGACCTTTCTTGAATGAGTCAATCTCGATCAACTACACAACAACTTTGGTACCGAATAACATTTCAGAAACATGAATAGCTGAATTGTGTAAAATATATGAGTTAGAAGCTGGCCATTTAAGTTGTTTTGTAAAGTAAAACAAGACCAATTCATTCTATCTAAAACATTAACAGTACCATTAGCTCTGAACATGACTGACTACTTCCCAAATTATGGTTACTCGGTTTTCATAAGACGTAAGATTTCAGTGAGTAAATGATTTTCCTTTTTGTTGCACGAAGTATGCACGTGCATTGAAGGAGAAAGGAACTGAGGTCAAGGTGCTGGTGTTTCCAGAGGACAATCACGCAATTGATAGGTTGGTCCTGAACCAATTTATGTGCATCTTGGTAGTGCTTGAGTTTCATGTTTGTAACCTTTTTCATCTTTGCAGGCCACAGTCTGATTTCGAAAGCTTTCTTAATATTGGAATGTGGTTCAAGAAGCACTGCAAATAGACATCTATGATTCATTTCTTGTTCTCCTCAAGAAGAACGACGATTATCCTCCTTCTGTGTTCATGTTCAAGCTCTCATCTGAATTGAAGATAAGAACATTCTAAATATGTCACCTAAGGAATTGCCAATAAACAGTTCCTATATTGTACAGTTCAATAAATCATCTAAAGGAGTTTATCTTTGAATTTTTGTGTAGCAGCTTGTTTCAAAAGTATTGGTCATATGCAAGAACGAATTGCATAAATTCCCAACTGTGTAATCAACTGCAGAATACTACTCTCTCTGTATCAATTTGGTTGTCTGGTTTTGACTTAATTTTAAGATTTGACAGATACTCCTCCATGTGAATATTTATTTTTCAATAAATAGTAGTTTAATTGAAAGCATATTATGATGCAAATGAGTGAAGTCATACTTTATGCTAATAATGTCTGTCAAGATAATATTTTTATTAATTTCATTGAATTGAGATGTACTCTTCTTCTTTTTTTTCTTCTTAAAACATCAAATACAGCTTAGATTACAAAGAACTTATCGAGATGTAAAGAATATTTCCAAAATTTAGCTAAAAAGTAACCCTAATTTGTGGTTAGTACTTATTCATCCTTAATAAGAGGTCTTGAATTTGAGCCCCGATATGAAATTAATTTTGTTAGGAAAATTTCATGCGGCTACGAAACATCAAGTTCTTGCAAGGATTATCCCTTATTTGTAATGATTCTTAATTTTTGTCGTTCAAATTTATGATCCTTAATATTTGTTCTTGATGCTCGTTCAATGAAAATTTGTGGGTCAAAGTATCTTTATGGATAACCAAATTTCACTTGGAATAAGTTAAAGAGAAATTTTATATAGGAATTAAATTGTGTCTCTCATGACTAACTTGTGAGTTCTGAAATTGAACTTATGCCTCTATTGGCATTAGTTTTTTAGGAGCTAAGTTATATCTTTTACGACATAACTTGTGGGTTCTGAACTAAACTTATGCATCTATCTACATAAGTTATGTAAAAACAACATAACTGGCGTTATATTATGATAAGAAAATATAAACTTATACGATGATGTCCCTCCCCCCAAACAAAACCAACTAAACATTGGGTGGAATGAATAAAGAAAATTTAGTTATAGATGCTCTTGGCAAGTGGGACATAAACTGACAAAAGTGATCACTTCTGCTTCTTCTTCTTTTTCTTTCATCCATTTTCATTACAATTCTCCATTTCCCTCTCTCTATGTAAGCTTTCTTGATCTGAATGTGCAAGTGTGATATCAAATATACTGAATTGTACTGTATGTAATTATCATTGAGTTTTTTCTACACCATGTTTCTATAGTTTCTGTTAGCCAAGATTTGATTTTTATGTTCATAATGAACTGAGTAATTCTAAAATATAGGACAATTTACAATTAGAATGTATTAAAGAAGGAAGGTTGAAGGAACTTGATTCCTTTACTTTGTTTAATTACAGTGGGAATCAAGATTGAAGAGAAGTGCTCAGATTGTGTTTTTGTTTTTTTCTGTTCAGTTGTTACTCCCTCTGTTTCAATTTGTTTGTCTGGTTTTGACTTGGTACGGAATTTAAGAAAGTAAAGAAGACCATTGAATCTTGTGGTTTTAAACTAAAGATGCACCTAAATGTCATGTAATCTTGTGATCTTAAACATGTCATGTGGAAAGTTAGAAATTGAAGAGTTGTCAAAGAAGGGAAGAGATTTTCTGTTTTAAACGGGATAAAAAGGAAAGTAAGGGAAACAAATTGAAACGAAGTGAAATGGAAACTAACAGTTCTTGTTAATTTAATTCTGCCTAATTGAAACTGAAAACCTTTTCAGTTTGTTTGCGAATGGAAAATCCTGGAGCAAGCCCTTTCAAAGATACTCCTGTTGGTTTAGATGCAAATTCAGAGGAAGAGTACTTTTCTCAGTGTACATTACTCAAAGAGTTTACTGAAATCCCCACAATTGAGAAGGCATGGACTTTGAAATCTAACAGTGGTATTGCTACTTCAACTCTGTCTAGATATTTTGTCGTACCGGTTCATTTCTGTCAAGCTTTTATTTCTTATGTATATCATGATCTGTGAGAGACAAAAGATGACTTGTGGTGTTCTTTTGGTTGTTTTGCGGTGTCCAGGAGCCTCACAGGTTATGTTCTCAATTAGTCAACCTAATCTCCTGGAGAACAAGAAGAGGAGATATGCATCATTTAGTCACATTTCCAAAGAAAGGGATGATTCTGTACAGTTTCATTGGGATGCTTTCCCTATTGAGATGGGATCAACATCTTTGATGGTTCCCTCTCCATCAGGTTCAAAGCTTCTTGTTGTTCGAAATGCTGAAAATGACTCTCCTACTAGCTTCGAGATTTGGAGTTCATCTCAGGTGGAAAGGGAGTTTCATGTTCCTTCATCTATCCACAGATCTGTATATTCTGATGGATGGTAACTTAATTTACTACCAAAAACACTACTTGCATTTTCTTATCATGTTCTCTTTTCATTGTGGATACTTGTTACTTCCTGCTATTTTAATGCTACAATTTAGTAACATTATTAGGAGTTGTTAGTAGTTATTTCTACTGGTTGCCTGGTCTCAGGTTCGAGGGGATTTCCTGGAATTCCGATGAAACTTTGATTGCTTATATTGCTGAAGAGCCTGTTTCTGCAAAACCAACATTTACACATTTTGGCTACGAGAAAGGGAATTGTCCAGATAAAGACTGTAATAGCTGGAAAGGACAAGGAGATTGGGAAGAGGGTTGGGGCGAAGCATATGATGGGAAAAGGCTACCAAAGCTTTTTGTCATCAGCATTAACAGGTTAATAAAGTCACTGATGTCTTGCTGAAGTAGTTCTGAAAAAACATTATCATGTAAATTTGACGTGGTAACTGTTAAATGCGACATTGTGCAGTGGAGAGGTACGTGCTGTAGATGGCATAGAAAAATCACTAAGTGTTGGGCAAGTTATTTGGGCTCCATCAGCAAAAGACTCATTACAATATCTAGTTTTTGTTGGATGGCCATCGGGGACGAGGAAGTTTGGTATCAAATACTGCACTAATAGGCCTTGTTCTTTGTATGTTGTTAGAGCTCCTTATTTCAGATATGAACCATGTCAATATGGGTAGGTTGCTTGCTCTGAAGAAGCCTTTCTTTTTTCAAAGACTTTGACAGCATGCTTACATTATACCATTCTTTTCTATTTCCGCTGAACCGACTAAGTATTCATTTATATGTTTCTTTGATAGTCTTGTTATTTGATACTTTTCTTATCAGAACGGATACAAAACTATCAGCAGTTGTGCTGACAGAAAGCATAAGTAGTGCATTCTTCCCTCGTTTTAGGTACGTCTGCTTGTTATAATTATTGGCTCTCAACAACTGTTTTAACGTTTACATTGTTCTATCAATTTAGTGGAAAATATCTTGTAAAGTCTGATTAGATTTCTCTCACACTTCAACACTCGGTGGTGTAAAGTGTAAACAACTTTTTTCAGACTATAACAGAAAATCTATTAACCCATTCTTAATTTTCTCAATTCTCAGCCCAGATGGAAAATTCCTGGTGTTCTTATCTTCAAAAAGTGCTGTAGATTCTGGAGCACATAATGCAACAGATTCACTTCATAGAATTGATTGGTCCATTGATGCAGAGCAACATCCGCGTAACAAAATTGTTGATGTGGTATTATTTTCCTACTTTGCTCACAAACTTATATGAGTAGTTGAACCTTGTTAAATACTTAGTCACTTACAAGTTACAACTCTTATTTTTGTCATATCAGTACTTTTGAGTTAAGTAATGAAGTTTCTCAAAGATGGACTATGAATTTGTTGTTTGTTGTTTTTCCTTTTTTCGAATTATCCTTAGATTTGTTGTTTCACTTGATCCTGCTGATTATATTAGTAGGTTCAATGACCACTGTAGGTTCCTGTTGTGATGTGTGCTGAAGATGGAAGCTTCCCTGGGTTATACTGTTCAAATATTCTTAGTAACCCGTGGCTTTCTGATGGGCACACTATGATTTTATCAGCTGCCTGGGGCAGCACCCTAGTTGTACTTACCGTGAATATCTTGAGGTAAAGCAAGGAAGCCATTCTATCTCCGTTGAACTCAAACGTTATGTATCTTCGTCTGTGTTCAATCACATGCTCATTTACTTTCAGTGGAGATGTATCGCGAATCAGCCCATGCACATCAGAGTTTTCATGGGATGTCCTTACTCTGGATGGTGACAATATAATTGCAGGTAAGAGTCAATGCTGTCTTTTTAACTTACAACAACTATGCCTCAATCCCAAGCAAGTTCAGGTCAGCTATATGTATCGTTACTGACCATGTTGCTCCATTTAAGCCAACTTTTTAACTTGTCAAAAAAAGAGATTCAAGGTTAACACCTGAAATCTTCTGTCTGATATCGTGAAAATGTATTGCGGAATGAAAAATCGATAAGAGTTTTATGGTGCTGTTTATTACTTTGTAGTATGTAGCAGTCCAGTTGATGTTCCTGAAATCAAGTATGGTTATCTTGTCGAAAATGCCTCCGATAACACCAAATGGAATTGGCTAGATATCTCAAGCCCCATAACCAAATGCTCTGAAAAGGTGAATATAATGTCCATATTGTTTAAATCCTTTTGGCCTGGGCTATAACGAATAAAGACTAGCCAGTCCCAACATTTTTATGTGATTCTTCAAAGGTGAGGTCTTTGCTGTCATCCAAGGAGTTTTCTATAATGTCGATTCCTGTTAGAGACGCCTCTGAGAATATCACAAAAGGTACACTTGCATAATATTTATCAGAATAAACATTGTATCCTGGTCTCCGAGAAACTAAAGATGAATCAACAGATGTAATATTTATTTTCAGCTCACCTTTTTTTTTTTCTCTGCTCCTACTTTAGTGCATAAATCTGATTCATGGTAGGTGCAAGCAAACCTTATGAAGCTATTTTTGCATCCTCCAAATCTAAGAAGCACGATGCATGTGACCCAATGATTGTAGTCCTTCATGGGGGTCCTCACTGTGTGTCATTGTCAAGCTTCTCAAAGTCTTCAGCTTTTCTTTGCTCACTTGGATTTAGCTTGCTTATTGTAAGTTATAGGTAAGTTAAGAGTACCATAAGCACCTTTTGGCATCCGTTTATCTGTACTACAACTTGTGCTGAACTAGCTGATGGTGTTGCTTATAATCAACCAGTCTGAATTTCTGATTAAGATAAACTCATAAATAAATCCTTGTCTTGATTGTATTACAACACGAATATCTTATTGATGTCCTTCCAGAGGTTCCTTGGGATTTGATGAGGAAGCAGTGCAATCTCTTCCAGGGAGGGTGGGTTCACAGGTGCTTCTTTGTCCAACCTTCTTTATGACAATTGATTTCGATTCATATATATCCGAAATGAGGACATTTCTTTAAATTCCTTTCCATTGTTTCACATCCACAGGACGTTAACGATGTACTTGCTGCCATAGACCATGTCATTGGTATGGGACTAGCAGATCAGTCCAAAATTGCTGCTGTTGGCATTTCTCATGGTGGATTTTTGACAACACACTTGATAGGCCAGGTTGGGTAGTTCACAAACAACCTGTTTCCTACACCTAAATCCATATCTAGTAGATATTTGTGCATGGCCATTAGACCATCCGTTCTGATACTTCGTCTATAAGGTGATTGGAAAAGTTAAAATTATTCTGTTCTTACAAATGCACCCGTGCAGGCACCAGACAAGTTTGCTGCTGCAGCTGCTAGGAACCCAGTCTGCAACTTTGCTATAATGGTTGGTACAACTGATATTCCTGATTGGTGTTATTTTGAGGCATTTGGAAGTGAAGCGAAATCAAGCTTCACAGCAGCACCTTCAGCTGAACACCTTGCTCTATTCTACGACAAGTCCCCAATTTCACATGTATCCAAGGTTAGCTTCATCAGCTGTGTTGGTGTTATTGTTGAATAGGTCTACTAGGTTTTATTGCACAAGAGTCAGGACTCAGGAGCGTAGAACTAGGCAACTTAAAAATGCGAAGATTATAGTAATCAATTTTCATCTGGTTACTTCTACTTCTCATTGACATTCAAACAAAATCAAACTGGAAATGGGAGCAAAAAAGAAATTACAGTTAATTCCTTTTAGACATGAGATTTTCTGGTACCAGTTGCGGAGACACCTTATGTTAGTTAAGGGGTGTCTCCTCGGAAAATTACACATTTTAGTTAGGTCAGAATTTTAGTTTAATGTATATATACTATATGTTGACTCCCCTTATTTTCTATGTGTGTCTACTTTTTTTATATTGTGATACCCCTTAGTAAAATTCCTGGCTCCTTCACTGGCTGGTGCCTATTGGAATTTAGATGAATCTGCATTGTTTTATTGATGCTCCTATACTCACTTGGAGGTAATCCTGCAGGTCAAAACTCCCACACTCATGCTTTTAGGTGTTAAGGACCTTCGCGTGCCCATTACTGATGGATTACAGGTACGTATTTTCCTTTTCCTTTTCCTTTTTTTTTGGGGGGGGGCG